GAATCAAGATATCAGAGACAATACCCATCCTTAGCATGCTCCGGTGAGTGGCACAGAATGACTGGAGCAAAAATACATGGTGTTGGTGGTTAATAGTGGTGTGTGTGAGTTTGTGTGTGTGTGTGTTGGGAAGGAGAGCAGAGTAAACAGTTACCTACAGTGAAGGTAGGCTTGGTTGGTTTAACACCAAAACTATGAGTTTGGATGTTACCTTAGCAGGTATGAAGAAGATGGAACTTTTTTTTTTTGGTAAGATTTATTTATACATACAGAACTGGGGTACAGGTGAGGTGAGAGGACTCACCAGAGATAGAGTGGGAAGCAGAACAGGAAGAATAATGAAGTACCCTGCTGAGGGGAGCAGCGGGCGGGTCAGGAGAGGTCTGCCACGCCATGTGGGTCACCTCCAGGGCCAGGAATCAAACTGGCACTGAAGTGGCTGGGGCCAGCTTAAGTGCTGCACTTTAACCATTGTGCCACCAGGGAGGGACCGAAGATAAAACTTTTAAGCATGGGAGTCACACCTGTAAACTTGATCTTAAGAGTCAACACTGTGCTTCTTTAAAAACACAAATTCAGAGAATGTTTGGTAGAATTAACAAAAGATTTAGTTTAGGCAATTGAGCAAAAAGAGAATAAGAAATGTCTACAGTGTGCTAATCATTTGTCTCCATCCTGAACAACTCCTAGGTTGGGAGTTGCTGCGCAGTGCTATCAATTGAGAAGGGGTTGTGGCCGCCCCCGCCCCCCACCAGCCATTCTCAGGTGGGGTTCAGGCTTCATGGCCATTGGGCAGCCTGGCAGGACCTGCCTCTCAAACTAAATTGCTTGTGTCAGTCAACTGATGAATGTCTGTGACATTGTGAATACCAATCCCATCAAGACATCTTCATTGGATTTTACTCTTCACTGGCTCAAGAAGTGAAATTTCTTAGAGTCAGAAAGCTTAGTCCCTTGCCTCAATTGTGTTAGTTTTTTGTTATTGTTGTTGTTTTATGGTTTTCATTAAATTGCAGGGATTGAAATATCCCACAATAGCTACAGGCACTTGGCCTTCTTTCGTTCATATAGACTGCACCTAACTCTACATAATTTCACCTCTGGACAGAAATGCAGATTTGGATGCCTTTTCTTCTATGTTCCTGGTGAGATACGAAACTCCTGGTGCTGCCCACTGTAATGGGCATGCTTGTTTTATTAGAATGGGGACAATTGAGAATGGCTTGACCTGTGCGCCTCAAGTCCCCAGGGCACTCCAGGAAAGGTCAAACCAGTTCTTTCTTGGCATAACCCTTGGCCACCTGATAGCTTTCTCAAAAGTAACTGAGCCCTAATAATGAAAATACAAATAAATGCCCACACTGGGAATTAAAATCATCCCAGAGCAGCATGGTCATTTCCAGGAAAACCTAAATCAAAAATTATAAATAAATAACTTTTCTCATTATTTCTGTGTGACACTGGGCAAGTCATTCCCCCTCTGTCTCCAGCTGCTCTTTTATACAATAAAATAGTTGGATAGGGCCCTCCCTGGTGGCGCAGCGGTTAAAGCACAGCACTGAGAATCTGAAGCCACTTCCGCATGAGTTCGATTCCCGCCTGCCCCGGAGGAGACCACATGGCGTGGCAGACCTCTCCTGACCCGCCCGCTGCTCCCCTCAGCAGTGTGCTTCGTCCATCTGCCTGTTCTGTTCCCCACTCTGTCTCTGGTGAGGCCTCTCACCGTCCCTGAGCCTCTGGCCTGTACCCCAATTCTGTATGCACAAATAAATAAATCTTTAAAAAAAAAATAGTTGGATAAGGTTAGCTTTTCGGCATTTTCTGGTCCTGACATTGTGGGATTTTTTGATGAACTGCTGAGTAGCCATTGCAGCTGGACCCGTCCGCCTACCCAGTAGGGATGTATTGAGCGCTCACGACGTGCTGGCCCGCTGGCCGCCAGCCTCATCACTGCGTCTCCCCTTAATGGACTTAGTGTGATGGTGAAGTCCAGGTCTGTAGGCAACGATGACTTGTCACTGACTGGTGAGTAATAGCTGCTTCTATCTTTTTCTCAAAGCTGTTGCCTCCGTATTTACTTCTCCCTTGTCTACTTTTGGCTAAGCTCCTTCAGGCTTCTTTCCTCTGGGGCATCATTGCACAAGGTTATGTCTACTCCAGCAAAGCTGTCCACTCTTTCTATTTTATAGCCCCTTTCTGGCAACGCGTAATAAGAATTACTTCAGCAGTGAGCATGCCCACTAGGGACTGACCCAGGAGAGGAGCTACCAGAAGCCAGAACTTCTGCCTGTATTTGCTGATTCATTATCAGTGTCAGACAATCTGCTGTGGAATGATGATAAATACATGGTTTTCTGCTAAAGGAATCATGTACTAACCCTGTGCTGAGAGCCTGTTCTTCCCCCGAATGGGGTCCCACCACACGCTGTCCCTTTTCCAGTAATTCAGTCGAACCCTAAAAGAGTAAAGTGTGCTTGACAAAGACTCAAACCCATGTGATTTAGAAATGCAAATTATCTCTGTTTTTAGTTAGAGAGGGAGGCACAGGCAAAGTGGGAAGCAGGAAAAGGCCCCCCTAATACCAGACACATTATTGCTTGAAAGGATTTTCAAGCTAGTAATGTAGGTGATGCTGACAGAGGTCGATGGAGAGAGATCTGTCCCTGGTCACCGTGAACTGTGAGTGCTATAGCAGGTCCAGCCACCATCATCTTTGTGACTTTGGGCAAGATCCTTCGGCAATTTGGGTTTCTGTTTTCCCTCATTAGTAAAATGAATGTTAGTGCATGACCTCAGTAGACCGCCGAGGTCTCCTTTTCTGATTCTTTGATCAATCAGCCTCAGTGCAGTGGCCCGTCAACTCTGGGATCCCAGATGAGCCCCAAGAGTTGTGCTGCACATGTGCGTGATTCTCTTGGCATCATATAAAGGTAGTGGTTCCCCAGACAGACCTTCTGCCTCCTCCAAATCTCTGGTAGGATAAGAACTAAATGGCAGGTGCTTTTTGCTTTGTTCCTCTTTCCTGCCCACTTTCCTTTATTTGAAGAATCTAAGATTTCTCATATGCCACACCCATGTCCCCAAGGCCCTGGAGATTTATTCCCCATGTGCTTGGATGGAGTTCCCTTGTGGGGACCTCATGACCTCATGAGTTTTCCTGGGAAGCAAATGCTATTCTAAGCCTCTAGGACCTTAGTTACAGAACGGTGACAGTGGTAATTGCACCCTCTATACCCCCACCTGTTGGGTAAATAATCATGGCTACAACCGCTTCTTGAAGTAATGTTGGTTTACAATTTGTACATGTTTCAGGGATACAGTTGTTCACCTTGACAACTTTTGCACACCCACTCCCAAATCAGTCACCATCCACCACCATCTGGGAGTCCCCTCTGTTGCTCCATCCGCCACCCCCGCTTCCCCTCTGGCCACCACCATTCTGCTGGCCGAGTCTAAGGTTTGTTTTGTTTGTTTGCTTTGTTTCTTCTTAGTCCACATATGAGTGAGCTCCTATGGTATTTCTCCTCCTTCTGACTTTCTGTACTTTGCTTCATCCTTTCAAGGTTTATCCGTATTGTCACGAACAGCAAGATTTCACCTTGTCTTCTTAATAGCTGGGCATATCCCAGTGTGTGTCTCTAGCATGCTTTGATTCACTCACTGATGAACGATCACCTAGGTTATTTACGTATCTTGGCCGTTGTGAATGGTGCTGCAGTGAACATAGGGGTGCATGTAGCTTTTGGAATTGGTGTTTTCAAATTCTGGTTAAAGCCCAGAAGGGAAATGGATGGGTATATGGTAGATTTATTTTTGGTGGTCTGAGGAACCCCTACACTGTCTTCTTATACCAGTTTAGATTCCCAGCCACCACCACTTTCATCACTTGCTGTTTGACCAGCTTCAGTGCGCCAGGCCCATCTGCTTACCGAATCTCATACCATCCACTTGAAGTAGATTCTGTGCCCTTCTCTTTCACAGACGAAGAAGCTGAGACTTAGAGAGTTAAATTTTTTTGCCAAGACCACACAGTAAATGGCAAAACTGAGATCTGAACTTGTGCTTTTAGACTCCAGAGCCCAAGCATCAACCCTCATCAGGACAGCTAGTGCAAACCCTTTCAAGGGCACAGCCTTCGCCTGATTGATTGGCACTCCTGAGGCGCTTGGCCCCACCCAGCACTCAGCACCGTGGTCACCAGCACCTCTCCTGTGGTTTGTTGGGAAAGTGGCTTCACCCAGAGAGGAAGGGCGGCAGCTACTGTGGGCCTTTATTGCGGTGGTTTATGATCCAGGGTGGGGGTTCTTTCTGTGAACATAAGCCATCCTAATAGCACCATTTATCATTATGACAAAGGTTAGGATGGGGGAAACTGGAGCTGGAATGAAAGAGTGGAATTCTGATTATTTTAGCAGTTGAAAGTGACATCACCTCAGAGCCTCTATCAAGTGGCAGATTGGGAGCCGGACTGAAATTGCTTTAAAATGTATCTAGAGATCACTTTCCACAGCTGTGATAAAGTCATTTGGTTGTGTTTGAAGATGCGTTTCTATCTAAAATGCTCACTGAGTCATCTCTGTGCCGCCCCCCTTGAAGACTGCTCGTCACCCCCAGGAGGCCAAGGCTTCCGGGGCCGTTATGGGGTGTGCCCTGTCCTGGGAGTTGCAGAAACCGCTGGGGCCACAGGGCCTCACTGTGCATTTTTTAAAAATGTGTTGTGAATGTCTACTTGTGTCAATAAAGAATGTTTTACAACACTTTTATTGGTCACACTGTTTTCCTCTGTCCATCTGGTGGATTGGACCTGAACTTTAGAGCAGAATCTCTTGCCTTCTGTCAGTGAGTCGGAATCAACGGAGCCTGCAAAGGGCCCTCACACAGCGGCAGCCACTTGGACCAGCCTTTTCATGAATCTCCTTGGACTTGCCCACGTAGTCTACTGTAGGGAGCTGTGGGGCTGACACTCAGTTAACTTATCCTCCCTCCTTTTTCATCCTCAGGCAAAAGAAGGGGAACGTGGCCCACAAACACTGGGTTGGACCTTCGAATCTGGTCAAGTGCAGACCCTGCCCCGTGGCTCAGTCGGCCATGGTTTGCGGCTCCGATGGTCACACCTACACCTCCAAGGTCAGTGGTTGTTACCTTCTGTGTCATCAGAAACACACCGTGCCCGATGGTCCTAACCAGTCTTTTCTGCACAAGACTGAGGTCTGTGATACTCACTGGGGTTTGGATGTGCCCTCGAGAAGCTTCCACATGAGCAGACTCAGAGATACTCTCTGGCCCAATAGATAGGCTAGGTGTAAATGTGACCTCTGCTGTGACTGACTGGTCATGGGCAAAGGGGCAGGGTGATTTGCATGGTGGGTGCTCCTGAAGATAATCCAGGAGAACTTCCTGGAGAATATGACGTAGCACACTAGTCCAAAGATGTGTGTCGGACAGCTCCATCAGGGAGCAAAGACACAGGAGGCATGGACTGCGGATGATGGACAGATAGCCCAGCTGACGTCAGCTCATGTCCCATCTCTGGAAGTTCTGCTTTGACATCCATGTAACCCATGTAACGCTTCACGGCCTCACTGGCATAATTGCTGCTTGATGAGCTTCTCTGTTCATTCACTCAGTATCATTTGAACTGTTATCTGCCAGGTGCTGTGCTAGTTGCTAGGGGAATTTGTAAAAATGAAAGTTTGGCTCTTCTTTGAGGCCAGAGTCAGGAATCCTTGCCTCTCCAAATTCAGACCAGCCCTGTGAATCTCAGCTTCTTGCTTAAGGTCACAGCTGGGTCATGTGGGCTAAAATGCTTCAGCCCAAGGCAGCTGGCTCAGCCTTCTACCGTGCTTTCTGAAGACCCTATTCCAGGGTCTTCCCCAATTGGAGATAGTTTGTGGGGACTCCACTGGCTTCTGGTACCCTTAATTCATGGCATTGTGGAGTTATAGGGGACACTGATAAATCTGTCCTATCTTCCATTCTCAAAGGTGGATCCAGCCATCATGGTCTTTTACCTAAAGCCCAGCATCTAAGTTTATAAACCGTCATGTGAGGATTTTGTTAAAAGGTGATCATACAACAGATTTGAATGAGGTCTGAGATTTTCTGTATTCCTAACAAGTTCCAAGAGGATGTCCATAGACCACACACTTTGAGGTGTGAGGACTTCAGGTTTCATAGACACCTCCTCCTGGATCCCTTTCCCTAATGTCTGTCCTTTCTTCTACCTCCAGAGTCCATTTCCATATGAAGGGAGGGATGGGCAGAGGAGATAGGAGACCATTCTGTAATGAAAGTCTGTCCAGATCTCCCCCACTTAAGGTGCTTGGGTAGACATCCTGGAGCTGTTGTTTCTAACAGACCTCTAGGCCTGTTAGTATTATTTCTGTTATTGTAGTATTGTTCCTGAGGGGACCTCCAGGGCTGCGCCTTCCTACATCACTTAGCATGGGAAAGATGCTTCATTCATTTGCTAAATACCTAGTGTTTTAAGCATGGTGCAAAACAAGGTGAGCGACAGGCAGTCACCTCTGGAAACCTAAATAGCTAAACAATTAAGTAATGTTTCCTAAGTTTTAGAAAGGAAAGAAGCAGGGTGCTGAGAGACTGAACTGGAGGGGCTTGATTCAGAAGGGAGAGTGAGGGAGGGCCTTTCTTTTTTTTCTTTTTTTTTTTTTTTTTTTAATTTATACGTAGAAGAACTGGGGCACAGGCCAGAGGTGTGGGGCTGCTGAGAGGACTCACCAGAGGCAGAGTGAGGAACAGGACAGGCAGATGGAGGAAGTACACAGTAGGCAAGACAGGAGAGGTCTGTCTTTGCCATCTGGGTCACCTCCCTGGCCGGGGATCGAACTCATGCTGCAGTGGCTGCAGATAGCTTCCTTGTGCTGTGCTTTAACCTGTTGCACCACCAGGGAGGCCCGGGAGTGCCCTTCTGAAGAGACGTCCTTACAGTGAGAGTGACAGCTCGAGCGTTGCAGATGGAGAACATAAACTCTAAGGCAGGATAATGTGTTTGAAGGACCGAGAGGCATCTGGGTGGTGGCTCAGACAGAGAAGAGAGGCATGTGAGATGGGGGTGCTGAAGTGAGTTGAGACACCATCTAGGAGGAAGCACTCAGTCCCAGGCGGAAGAGGATGCCATTGCCAGGCTCATTTACCGGTGCTGTAGCTCCCCTCTCTTCCTGATGCACCATAAGCATGTGAGATCCAAGGACCATCGTGTGATCACCAGGCTCAGAGATGAGAGAGGAGCCACCTGTGGCTGTAGTGGAGAAGGAATGGAGAGACGCTAGTGTGCAGGACTTGGCTGGGTTGCTTGAAGAAGCTTAGCAATTGAGAAACACTAGCCATGCCCACTCTGGACCAAATTGCTTAGCTAAATACCAGCCTGGTGCCCAGGGGCCTCTTGAGTGCTTCTTTCTGTGAAGGTCCAGGAGCCTAAGTTTGGAGATGCGCCAAGAAACGTTCACTAGTGATCAGGGCTGCTTGGCCAGTGGCGTGTTGTACATCAAACCTGCTTGCTCGCCTTTGTCTCTCTTTGGCAGAGGTGAAATGCCAACTGAAATGCCAGCACTTTCCCATGACCCCCAGCCTACAAGGAGCAGTGGGAGCCTGTCAGATGTGGCTCGAAATGCTGTCAGTTGCCCAGGGAATGTCACTGAAGTGCTCTCTGGCCAGCCCCACCCCACCCAAGCAGTCTGAGCAGGAGAGCTGGCTTTTGTGGTAGGGAAGAATGCCTGCTTGCAGATCCTTTTGTCAGAGGCCTGGGCAGGGTTTGGTGGATTTCTTTGCACTGACTTTTGACTCCTGATTCTTCAGAAGAGCACTGGTTTCCAGAGCCTGCTGGGAGAGCCCCCTGAAGCTCTCTCCAGCATGTCTGCTAAATATGTTTCATCCCTGCACCAGAAAGACCCAGACCTGTTTCCCAGCCCCACTTAATGTATTTTTCCCCTGGAGCAAGAGAAGAGATAGAAAGCCTTCTTTTCACAAACTGAAGCATCCGTCTCTCATCCCTCACATGAGGTAGACTGAGGCCCAGAGAGCCAAGGGCCTTGACAGAGCTTCCCACCCATGGGCTTCTCCCTGCATGTCTGTGATCGCCCACTGCTATTTAACATTAAGACAGAGAGGAGGGTGTGGGCCGTTGAGGGGCAGCTCTGCAGTGGAAACTGGTTCTAGTGTTGGTTTTGGGCATTTGTTTCCTTTTCCATCTCGTGGGAACTTCTAGAAATTTGGTATTCTCTTTTCCCCAAAGGTATGAATCAGTTAGGACTCCAGCAGTAGTTGTGTGTTGACTGATCAAGATCTCTGAAGCTGAGGACAATTCTAAATGCAATGAGACTTCCTCCAAGGGGACATTGGAGTCTGGTTGGGGTTACTATGTGTGTTTTAGTTACTTCCCCTGAAGTCGTGACCAAGTGTTTGGTGAGGTTTTAAGACATTTTAGTCTCACAGACGGAGATGTTGGACGGTCCCCAGTTGATATGAGTGAATGACTTAACCATGAATGAGCAAATCATTTCCCAGCTCCTGAAGTCCTTGTTTCTGTGGGGGAATCAGTGGGGCAAGGGACCAAAGGAGAGGTGAGAATCTCTGCATGTGTAACTGGAGGTGATTGGATGTCATAATTCAGATTCACAGAGATCAGTGTTGGTAAAAATACATGATAGCCCCAGTCCCATCATCTGCCCACACCAGATAATGCCAAGTCTCCAGGTGTTTCCTTGTGAAAGAGGAGCTGGAAGGTGAACACCTTGGGGAGCAGGGGAGGAAGGAGGCTCGCATCAGCAATGTCCTGCAGGCTGAGTGCTTGTCTTGGGTCACATCAAGCATCAGGCAAGCTTTCCTTCTGCTTTTGGGGCCTGGACAATTGGAGACGCAGGAGCTGGGGGAGGCAGGGGGCGAGGAGTCTCTGTCCATAGCAGGACTTTGGGGTGTCTCTGCCCAGGAGCGCTGTGACTCCACCAGGCTCAATGATAAAGTGAGCAGGAGCACACACGGTCTCGAAATGAAGGGATATGATGTGACATGGCAATAAATGTTTATTCAGACTCTATAAAACCTAACCCATAAAAGATAAGAAGCAGAAAACGGCTGCTGCTGAAAATAGAGACGTGGAAGGTGGTGCTACGGCCCAGCTGCGCGTGTGGTGATGGAGACCTGCCCTTGGCCTGGCCTGGTTCACCTGCTGACCTTCAGCTGACCTTGGTGTCACCTTCTCCTGAAAGCAGCACATATTTACTGTGTTCTCTCTCACTCCGTGTCGTACATGGTGCTTAACACTTAGGGTGTGTCAAAGGGCAGAGCAGCCCAAGCTCAGATTCCTTGGAACGTACAGGCAGGTAGAAAATGGAAAGTGTCACCTTCCACTAGAATCGGTGTTCAGATAATCAGTGTCCTGTGCCTCAGGACACTCAGGGCCGCCTCAAGGCAGCTGGATGAGCCTGCAGTCAGAGGAAGTGAGGATCCAGTTGGAGGTGTTTAGGGAGGGAGGTCAGCTGGGCTAACAGTGGCATGGGGCAGCGCCGTCCATTGGAGGGGAGAGGGCGTGGAGCGATGCAGCCGGCATGACTCCTTGAAGACAAGGGTGGCTGGGTCAGTAAGAAGGGAGACAGGGTCACCTAGCTGCAGAAGTGAGGCTGCAGAGCTCATCAGGCCACCTTTTGCTGGGCCTTGAAGGCCCGTTGAGTGTTTGCACCAAGCCTCGAGAGCACCAGGGATGCTGTTGAGGACCTGGCGTTTCTGAATTCACTTGTCTGGGCACGGGGTGGGACTGTTGGGGCAGGAGCGCAGCCTCGGGGGCCTGTGGCCCTGCTGGGAGGAGCAAGGTCTGGAGTGTGTGCTGGTGGCAGAAGATAGACAGTGGCCTAAAGAAACATTGAAGAACTGACAGCTGGTCTTGGTGGCTGAGTGGCAAATCTAGAAAGCAGCTCCTGCTCTGAGCTCAGCAGAGGGTGTGTGCTGTGCGGGCCTCACCGATCCTCCTCTGGACTTCAAGCTTTGTGCCCCTGGATGGATGGCCCCTGTGGCCCCTGTGGCCCCTGTGGCCTCTGTGGCCTCTGTGGCCTCTGTGGCCCCTTGGCCCTTCCTTTCTCTGATCCACGTAGAAAGAGGAGGCTTTCGAGGCC